TTGAGCCAATCACCTCCGACCCTCATTGATTGACACCGCTCTCACCCACTCACCTCCCACCGTGCCCCTCCCGCGCTGCCTCACTCCCTCCATTCCTATTGGCCGCGGCGGGGACTGACACCCGCCTCCACCAATCAGACCGCGGAATGGGCGGGACCAAGCCCCCCTCCTTCCCCTTCCCCTCAGAGGCGCGGGCGCCATTTTGCGAGCAGCGCCCGAAGGCGGCGGCGGCGGCGGGAGCGGGGCCGAGAGCGGTGAGAAAGGAGGAGGGGGGGGGGGGGTAAAGCAACGATAGCGATAAAAGGGCGGGGTTATCGCGATAGGGGCGATATCGCGATATGGGGTGGGGGGCGGGGCAGAAAGGAAGGTGCTGTTGTTTCTTATCGGGGGGGGGGGGGGGAAGAAGGCCGGTAATGGCGGCCTAATGGAAGGTGAGGAGGGGGGTAATGGAGGCCTATGGGGGGGGAATGGGGGTCTGTAGGGGGCAATGGGGATCTATGGGGCGCTATGGGGGTCTGTGGGGGTGTTAAAGGGGGTCTATGGGGGGATATGGGGGTCTATGGGGGGTAATGAGGTTCTGTGGAGTCTCTATGGGGGTTTAAAGGGGGTCTATGTGGGGGAATGGGGGTCTATGGGGGGATATGGGGGTCTGTGGGGTCGGTATGGGGATCTGTGGGGTGTTTATGGGGGTCTATGGGGGGTCTACGGGGTCTCTATGGGGGTCTATGGGGTCTCTATGGGGCTCTATGGGGGGTTGGATATGGGGGGGGCTCCTTGTGCTTCTCTTCCAGGTCCATTCCCCCCTCCCCCATTCCCCTCCATTGCCCCTCCCCCTTTACCCCCCCTCCCCCCCTCAAATAGGCTCTTCCCATAGGGGGGAGGGGCCCACGTGGAGCGCGGTTTTGGGGGGAAAAGAGCGGATTTGGTCATTTTGTGGTTGTTTTAATGGGGTTTACTCTCCCCTCCCCCCACCAACACCCCTGTTTTGGCGTTAAAATCGCCCTTTTTGGGGTAAATTTGTCCCTTTTGGGGGTTAATTCACACTATTTTGGGGGAAATTCATCCCTTTTGGGGTAAATTCGTCCATTTTTGATGTTAATTTGCTCCTTTTTGGGGTTAATTCACCCTTTTTGGGGGTAAATTCGTCACTTTTGGGATTCAAATCAGTGTTTTTGGGGTAAATTCACCCCTTTTGGGGGTAAATTCGTCCCTTTTTGGGTAAATTTGTCCCTTTTGGGGGTTAAATCAGTGTTTTGGGGGTAAATTCGCCTTATTTGGGGTAAATTTGCCCCTGTTTGGGGTTAATTCGCCTCTTTTGGGGGTAATTTCTCCTTTTTGGGGGTAAATTTGCCCCTTTTTGAGGTAAATTCCCCCCTTTTGGGCTAAATTTGCCTTTTTAGGGTTCCATAGTGCCCTTTTTGGGCTTAAATTCCCCTGTTTTGGGGTTAAAATCACACTTTTTGGGGCTCAACCCCCCTTTCCTCCCTTATTAATTCCTTCCTATTAATTATTAGATGCTTGTTATTAATTAATAAGTTCCTGTCATTAATAATTAGATCCCTGTCATTAATTGTTAGGCCTTTAATATTAGTTATTAGGTCCTTTGTATCCTAATTACCAGCCCTTATTGATTATTAAGCTTTTCCTATTGATTAATTGATGCCTATCATTAACAATTAGGTCCCTAATGTTCATTATTAGGCCTTTAATACTCATTATTAGACTCCTAATATTCATTAATAGATTCCTAATAGTAATCAGTAGGCTCTTAGCATCCTCATTAATATCTGTAATTAATTATTAGACTCTCCTATTAATTAATAGATCCCCTCTGATTAATCATTAGGCTCCTCCCTCCTCATTAATACCCCTTAGTAATCATTAGGCCCTTCCTATTAATTACTAGACCCCCATCATTAATTATTAGGTGTGTTTTATTAATTATTAGGTGGTTAATATCAAATATTAGGCTCTGTGTATTCTCTTATTAATTGCTAGGTTCTTCCTATTAATTAATGGACCCTTATCATTAAGTATTAGGCCCCTAGTATTAATTAATAGACCCCTAATGATCATCAACGCCATTATTAAGCCCCTCCCCCTAATCATTACCACCGTTCCCCCCATTATTAGGGGTTATTAAGCCCCTTCCAGCCAATTATGAACCCCCCCATAATTATTAATAGCCCTTACTAGTTATTAATGGGTTATTAAGCTCTTCTTAATTATTAGCCTCTAATTATTAACCCCTTAAGCCCCATTATTTGCCCCATTCCCTTCATTATTAGTGCCAAGACCCCTTTGTAAGCCCATTTCCCTCATTTATTAGCCTCTTTCTAATTATTAATCCCATTATTAGGCCTTTAACCCTAGTTATTAACCCATTATTGATGCCCTTCCACTAATTATTAGCTCCTCTAATTATTAACACCATTATTAGGGCCCTCCCAGTAATTATTAATCCATTATTAATGCCCTTCTGCTAATTATTAGCCCCTCCTCCTAATTATTAACTCATTATTAGGTGACTCCCCCTAATTACTAACCCATTATTAACTCCTCCCCCTAATTATTAGCCACCCTTTATTATTAACTCCATTATTAGGCCCCTTCCCTTAATTATTAACCCATCATTAACCCCTCCCCCTAATTATTAGCATCTTCCCTACTTATTAACCCCATTATTAGGCCCCTCTCCCTAATTAATACCCCATAATTAACCCCCTACTATTAGCCCCTCCTTTATTATTAACCCCGTTATTAGCCCTCCCCACCCCTCCTCCCCACCACCAGGGGGCGCCGTTGCGACGGGCGGGGGCGTGGCCTCGAAGCCCCGCCCCCTTTTTAAGCCCCACCCCCTTCCTCCCCCCCCCCCATTGTTTTTTCCTTAGGTTTTATTGCGCCGGCGGCGACCGTAAGTGCCAAATTCTCCTTTTTTCACCCCAAAAACCGACCCCCCCCCCCCCCTTTCCAAAATGGGCTCTTCAGCCCCTCCCCCCCCCCCCCTTTCCACACAACGGGGGGGGGGGGGGGTGTTCAAAAACAACCCCCCCCAAAAAAGCCCCAAAACCACCCAAAAATGCCCCAAATCCGGGCGGGTTTCCCCTTCCTTCCCCCTCCCCCCCCGCGCTGCGCCCCCTCCCCCCCATCACCCCCCTTTGGCCCCTCCCCCCTCCCCGCTTCGGGGTGTTTTTGACCCTTTTTCAGGCGTTTTTTGAGGGATTTTAATGATTTTTTTTTTCCTTTTTTTTTTTTTTTAATTTTTTATTTTTTCCCCTATTTTTCTCATTTTTTTATTTTTTATTTTTTTCCCTTTTTTTTTTTTTTTTTTATTTTTTTGGCTCGGTTTTTCCATCGCTTCCGGCCTTTTTCCGGGCCCCGCCCCCCTCTCCTTTAAGCCCCTCCTCCTTTCAAGCTCCACCCACTTTAAGCCCCGCCCCCTCCCCCCCAACAACAACCACCACCACCTTTGAAGTCGCCGCCGATCCCCTCCCCCCACACCCCTCCCCCCCAGCACCGGAGCGGCTCCAGAGCCCCCCTACGGTAAGAAAGGGGTCGAGGGGGGGAGGGGAAGTGAGGGGGGGTGGTGTCCATTGGGACCCATAGAGCCCCATTGGGACCCATAGAGCCCCATTGGGACCCATAGAGCCCCATTGGGACCCATAGAGGGAATGGGACATCAGGTCTACCTCCATTGGGGTCCATTGACCCCGCCCCCCGGGGTCCATTAGGGTCCATTGACCCACATTGGTACCCATTGAGCCCCATTGGGGTCCATAGACGGTATGGGCTATCAGGTCTACCCTTGTTGGGGTCCATTGACCCATTGGGGTCCATTGGGGCCCATAGAGCCCCATTGGGGCCCATAGAGGGAATAGGATATCAGGTCTAGCCCTATTGGGCTCGCTGCGCCTATGGGGCATCAGGTCTATTCCCATTGGGGTCAATGGGGCCCCCCCCATTGGCCTCCATATTGCCCATGGGCCATCAGGTCTACCATATTGGCATCCATTGACCATTGGGTTCCATTGACCCCATTGGGCTCCATAGAGCCAATGGGCCATGACGTCTACCCCATTGGCATCCATTGACCCCATTGAGCTCCGTAGAGCCCATGGGCCATCAGGTCTACCCCCATTGACTTCCATTGACCCAGCCATTCATTGACCCCATTGAGCTCCATAGAGCCCATGGGCCATCAGGCATACCCCCATTGCCATCCATAGAGTGTGGGGTATCAGGTCTACCCCATTGCCATCCATTGCCCCAGCACCCAAGGGCATCAGGTCTACCCCATTGCCATCCATTGACCCTAGCACCCGTGGCTATCAGGTCTACCCCCATTGCCATCCATTGACCGCATTGCCATCCATTGACCCCCATTGACCGCCATTGCCATCCATTGACCCCATTCCCATCCATTGACCCCCATTGACTGCCATTGACCCCATTGCCATCCATTGACCCCCATTGCCATCCATTCACCCCCATTGACCACCATTGACCCCATTCCCATCCATTCACCCCCATTGACCACCATTGACCCCATTCCCATCCATTGACCCCATTGTGACCCATTCCCCCCCTTTAGGCCCCCCACCCCCCCCCCACCCCCCCCCTCCAACCACCACCATGGCCAGCAACGTGACCAACAAGACGGACCCGCGCTCCATGAACTCGCGGGTCTTCATCGGGAACCTCAACACGCTGGTGGTGAAGAAGAGCGACGTGGAGGCCATCTTCGCCAAGTACGGCAAGATCGTGGGCTGCTCCGTGCACAAGGGCTTCGCCTTCGTGCAGTACGTGGCCGAGCGCAACGCCAGGGCGGCCGTGGCTGGAGAGGACGGGAGGATGATCGCCGGGCAGGTGTTGGGTGAGTGGGGGGCATATGGCGTACTGTGGCGTTTAATAGGGGGGAATGGCTAGAATGGGGTTTAATGGGGGGAATGGGGTTTAATAGGGAGGAAATGGGGTTTAATAGGGGGAAATGGGGGGAAATGGGGTTTAATAGGGAAGGAATGGCTAGGACAGGGTTTAATAGGCAGGAAATGGCTAGAATGGGGTTTAATAGGGAGGAAATGGGGTTTAATGGGGTACAATGGGGTTTAATGGAGTTCAATAGGGCAGGAATGGCTAGAATGGGGTTTAATGGGGGGCAAGTGGGGTTTAATGGGGAGGAATGGGGTTTAATGGAGTTCAGTAGGGCAGGAATGGCTAGAATGGGGTTTAATGGGGAGGAATGGGGTTTAATGGAGTTCAATAGGGCAGGAATGGCTAGAAAGGGCTTCGATAGGGAGGATATGCGTTTTAATGGAGTTCAGTAGGTCAGAAGTGGCTAGAATGGGGTTCAGTAGGGAGGAAATGGGGTTTAATGGAGTTTAATAGGGCAGGAATGGCTGGAATGGGGTTTAATAGGGAGGAAATGGGGTTTAATGGGGTACAATGGGGTTTAATGGGGGGGATGAGCGCAACGCCCGGGCGGCTGTGGCCGGGGAGGACGGGAGGATGATCGCCGGGCAGGTGTTGGGTGAGTGGGGGGGGTATGGGCGTTCTATGGCGTTTAATAGGGGGGACATGGGGGGGAATGGGGGGGATATGGAGTTCAATGGGGGGAATGGGTAGAATGGGGTTTAATAGGGAGGAAATGGGGTTTAATAGGGCAGAAATGGCTAGAATGGGGTTTAATAGGGAATGGGGTGTAATAGGGGGCAATGGGGTTTAATAGGGCAGGAATGGCTAGAATGGGGTTCAATAGGGAAGAAATGGGGTGTAATGGGGTTTGATAGGGGGGAATGGGGTTTGATAGGGGGGAATGGGGTTTAATGGGGTTGAATAGGGCAGGAATGGCTAGAATGGGGTTTAATAGTGAGTAAATGGGGTTGAATGGGGTTTAATAGGGAGGGAATGGGGTTTGAAAGGGGGGAATGGGGTTTAATGGAGTTTAATAGGGCAGAAATGGCTAGAATGGGGTTCGATAGGGAGGAAATGGGGTTTAGTAGGGGGTAATGGGGTTTAGTAGGGAGGAAATGGGGTTTAATAGGGAATGGGGTTTAATGGAGTTGAATAGGGCAGTAATGGCTAGAATGGGGTTCAATAGGGAGGAAATGGGGTTTAATGGGGAGGGATGGGGTTTAATGGAGTTTAATAGGGCAGAAATGGCTAGAATGGGGTCCAGTAGGGAGGAAATGGTGTTGTATCGGGGAAATGGCGTTTAGAATGGGCAGAATGGGGTTTAGAAGGGAATGGGGTTTAGTAGGGGGAGAATGGGTTTGATGGGGGAAATGGGTTTTAATGGGGGGAATGGGGCTTAGAAGGGGGAAAATGGGGTTTAATGGGGGAATGGGGTTTAGTGGGGGGGGGAAGGGGTTTGAGATAGTGGGTACTCACCGGGGTTCAATGGGGTTTGATATAAAAGGGGTTCAGTGGGGTTTAATGGGGAGAATGGGGTTTGATGGGGGTAAATGGGGTTTAGTAGGGGGCACCACTGACCCCATTGGCACCCATTGACCCCCATTGCTGCCCATAGTGGCAATGGGCCATCAGGTCTAACCCATAGACTTCCATTGATGCTATTGCCACCCATTGTTCCCATTGACCCCCATTGGTGCCCATAGTGACAATGGGCCATCAGGTCTAACCCATAGACTTCCATTGATGCCATTGGCGTCCATTGTTCCCATTGCCTCCCATTGAAACCCATTGACCCCATTGGGTCCATTGACCCCCATTGGTGCCCATAGACACAATGGGCCATCAGGTCTAACCCATAGACTTCCATTGAAACCCATTGCCCCCCATTGTTCCCATTAACCCCCATTGGTGCCGATAGACACAATGGGCCATCAGGTCTAACCCATAGACCTCCATTGATGCCATTGGCGTCCATTGACCCCCATTGGTGCCCATAGCAACAATGGGCCATCAGGTCTAACCCATAGACCTCCATTGATACCATTGCCCCCCATTGTACCCCATTGCCCCCTACCCCCCCTATAATAACACACCCCTATGGGGCTGGTCTATGTCTGTGTGTGCCCCCCCCCCTATATCTCTGCACCATAGACATCAACCTGGCGGCCGAGCCGAAGGTGAACCGGGGCAAGGCCGGGGTGAAGCGCTCGGCAGCTGAGCTCTATGGGTCAGTACCTGCCCCACCTTCTCCGGCCCCTCTCGTCAGGTGGGGCCCCACTTGGCTTCTATCCCCCCCCCCCTGCCCCATATATAGAGAGAGCCCCCCCACACTTTGCCCTAGAGATCTATGGGGCACTATGGGGCTCTCAGAGTGGAAATGTGGATGCTTATAGTGTGCATTGGGGGGGGTTCTGCCCCATAGATCTTCGTTTGATCTCGACTATGATTTCCAGAGGGATTATTATGACAGGTAAATAAGGGGGGGATGTGGGGTGGGGGGGTGGGGACCCATAGAGACCCATAAAGAACCTATAGGGATCCATAGAGAGCCATAGAGAGCCTGTAGGGACCCATAGGGACCCTATACACACCCCATAGGTGACCTATAGAGACCCCATAGCCCCCCCATAGACCCCCATATGTTTCCATAGGCACCCCATAGATACCCCATAGACCCCCATATCTCCCCATAGACACCCCATAGACCCCCATATTTCCCCATAGGCACCCCATAGATACTCCATAGACTACCACAGACCCCGCATAGACCCCCATATATCTCCATAGACCCACATAGCCACCCCATAGAACCCCATAGACCCCCCATAGCCCCCCACAGACCCCCATAGTCCCCCATAGACCCCCCCATAGACCCCCCATAGACCCCCATAGACCCCCCATAGACCCCCCATAGACTCCCATAGACCCCCATATCCCCCCCATAGACCCCCCCATAGACCCCCATAGACCCCCCATAGACCCCCCCCTCACTCCCCTCACCCCCCCATACAGGATGTACAGTTACCCAGCGCGGGTCCCCCCGCCGCCCCCCATCGCCCGCGCCGTGGTGCCCTCCAAGCGGCAGCGGGTGTCCGGGAACACCTCCCGCCGGGGCAAGAGCTTCAACAGCAAGAGCGGCCAGCGGGGCTCCTCCTCCAAGTCCTCCAAGGGTACTTATGGGGCGCTATGGGGTGTCTATGGGGGGCTATGGGGGTCTATGAGGGTCTATGGGGGGTCTATGGGGGTCTATGGGGTGCCTATGGAGGGCTATGGGGGGGTGCAGGCAGCGCGCTGCGGCGCGGCCGCTAGGGGGCGGTATAGTGCTGCAGGGGGCGGGGTCAGATGAGGACACGCCCCCTCTATGGGCCAATGGGAGCGGGTGTGCAGGCGGCGCGGCCACTAGAGGGCGGTGGGGGAGGGGGGGGGAGGGGCGTGGTCAGACAAAGACACGCCCCTTCTATAAGCCAATGGGGGGGTGCAGGAGGCGCGCTGCGGCGGGACCGCTAGGGGGCGGTATAGTACCGAGGGGGCGTGGTCAGATGAAAACACACCCCCCTCTATGGGCCAATGGGAGCAGGTGTGAAGGCGGTGCGGCCGCTAGGGGGCGGTATAGTGCTGCAGGGGGCGGGGTCAGCTGAGGACACGCCCCCTGCTCGATGGGGTATGGGGGTGAAGGGGGGCGAAGGGGAAGGGGGGGGGTTTGGGGTTGGATTTGGGTGGTTTTGGCTCATTTTGGGGTGAATTTGGGTTCTTTTGGGTGAAATTCATCAGATTTGGGTCATTTTGGGTGAATTTCATCAGTTTTGGTTCTTTGGGGGTCAGTTTGGGGCATTTTGGGTGAATTTCATCGTTTTCGGCTCATTTTGGGGTGAGTTTGGGTCCTTTTGGGCTGAATTCCATCATTTTTGTTTATTTTGGGCTGAATTCTGTTGATTTTGGCCCATTTTGGGCTGAATTTTGTCAATTTTGGCCCATTTTGGGATGAATTCTATCCATTTTGTCCATTTTGGGTTGAATTTGCTCATTTTTCCCCGTTTTGCCCTATTTTGGGTTGAATTCTGTCAATTTTTGTCCATTTTGGGGAAAAATTTGTCAATTTTGGCCTATTTTGGGCTGAATTCTGTCCATTTTGGCTGATTTTGGGCTGAATATGACCAATTTTGTCAATATAGGGCTGAATTTTGTCCATTTTGGTCTGAATTTGATCATTTTTCTCTGTTTTGCCCTATTTTGGGTTGAATTCTGTCGATTTTTGTCCATTTTCGGGTAAATTTGGTTGATTTTGGCCCATTTTGGGGTAAATTTGGTCGATTTTGGCCCATTTTGGGTTGAATTCTGTCGATTTTTGCCCATTTGGGGGTAAATTTGGTTGATTTTGGCCCAATTTGGTTTGAATTTTGTCAATTTTGGCCCATTTTGGGGTAAATTTGGTTGATTTGGGCCCATTTTGGGTTGAATTTTGTCGATTTTGGCCCATTTTGGGGTAAATTTGGTCGATTTGGGCCCATTTTGGGCTGAATTGCGGCGCTTTTGGGTGCGTTGCAGTGAAGGGCGATGACCTGCAGAGCATCAAGAAGGAGCTGAGCCAGATCAAGCAGAAGGTGGACGCGCTGCTCGAGAGCCTGGAGCGCCTCGAGAGGGAGCAGAGTGAGCCCCGGCCCCACACTTGGGGGGCAGCCCCATAGAATCTATGGGGCAGAGACTGGCACGTGGGGGGGTTGAGCTGTGGGGGTGATATATGGGGTTTATAGGGGGATATATGGGGTTGGGGGGGGGATCTGTGGGGCTGCCCCATAGAATCTATGGGGCAGAGCCTGGCATATGGGGGGGTGAGCTATGAGGTTCATATATAGAGCCTATAGAGGTTATGGGGGGTGTAATGGGTGGATCTATGGGATTCCCCATGGAATCTATGGGGTGCCCCATAGAATCTGTGGGGCAGAGTCTGGCATATGGGGGGGTTGAGCTGTGGGGTTGATATATAGGGTCTATAGGGGGATATATGGGGTTTAGGGGGAGATCTATGGGGTGCCCCATGGAATCTGGGGGGTCTCTATGGGTCTCTATGGGCTATCTATGGGGTCCCTATGGCTCTCTATGGGTCCCTATGGGCTCTCTATGGGTCTCTATGGGGTCTCTATGGGTCTCTATGGGTCTCTATGGTCTCTATGGGTCTCTATGGTCTCTATGGGTCTCTATGGGGTCTCTATGGGTCTCTATGGGGTCTCTATGGGTCTCTATGGTCTCTATGGGTCTCTATGGGTCTCTATGGGTCTCTATGGGTCTCTATGGGGTCTCTATGGGTCTCTATGGTCTCTATGGTCTCTATGGGTCTCTATGGTCTCTATGGGTCTCTATGGGTCTCTATGGGTCTCTATGGGGTCTCTATGGGTCTCTATGGTCTCTATGGGTCTCTATGGGTCTCTATGGGTCTCTATGGGTCTCTATGGGGTCTCTATGGGTCTCTATGGTCTCTATGGTCTCTATGGGTCTCTATGGTCTCTATGGGTCTCTATGGGGTCTCTATGGGTCTCTATGGGGTCTCTATGGGTCTCTATGGTCTCTATGGGTCTCTATGGGTCTCTATGGGTCTCTATGGGTCTCTATGGGGTCTCTATGGGTCTCTATGGTCTCTATGGTCTCTATGTGTCTCTATGGTCTCTATGGGTCTCTATGGGGTCTCTATGGGTCTCTATGGGTCTCTATGGGTCTCTATGGTCTCTATGGGTCTCTATGGTCTCTATGGTCTCTATGGGTCTCTATGGTCTCTATGGGTCTCTATGGGGTCTCTATGGGTCTCTATGGGGTCTCTATGGGTCTCTATGGGTCTCTATGGGTCTCTATGGGTCTCTATGGGTCTCTATGGGGTCTCTATGGGTCTCTATGGGTCTCTATGGTCTCTGGTCTCTATGGGTCTCTATGGGGTCTCTATGGGTCTCTATGGGGTCTCTATGGGTCTCTATGGGGTCTCTATGGGGTCTCTATGGGTCTCTATGGGTCTCTATGGGGTCTCTATGGGTCTCTATGGGTCTCTATGGGGTTTCTATGGGTCTCTATGGGTCCCTATGTTTCTCTATCTCCTCCCCATAACCCCTCCCCCTCTCTCTCTCTCTCCCCTCCCCCCCAGAGCTCAAGAGCGAGAAGGCGGAGGAGGAGCTGTGCGGGGGCGGGGCCGGCGCGGGGGGCGGGGCCAAGAAGGAGGAAGGGGCCGGCGGGGGGGGGAAGGGCGACGGCGACGACTCCCCCGAGGAGGGGGACCTGGAGGAGGAGGAGCCTGAGGAGCGCGAGCACGAGCAGGTGGGGGAGGGGAGATGTGGGGCTGGGACCCATAGGGGGCTATGGGGGTGGGAGCCATAGGGGGCTGGGTGCCATAGGGGGCTATGGGGGTGGGAGCTATGGGGGGCTATGGGGATGTACCCATAGCGCTATGGGGCTGGGAGCCATAGGGGGCTATGGAGCTGGGAGCATTTATGGGGCTGGGAGCATCTATGGGGGGCTATGGGGATGGGAGCATCTATGGGGGGCTATGGGGCTGGGAGCCATAGGGGGCTATGGGTCTGGGATATGGATCTATGGGGCTAGGATCTATAGGGTTGGACCCCATAACCTCTACCCTATAAAACCTATAGGGCCTGCCCCATAGACCCCATAGCCCCTATAGGCCCCATAGGCCCTGCCCCACATAATCTATGGGTCCCACCCCACAGCTCGAGTCCCTGAAGGGCGATGAGAAGGAGGCCGAGGAGGGCGAGGACGACCGCGACAGCGCCAATGGGGAGGACGACTCCTAAGCCCCGCCCCCTTCCCCCTTAAGCCCCGCCCCCTTCAAGCCCCGCCCCTTTTTAAGCCCCTCCCCCATCCACCACAGTGGTATCGTGACCCCGCCTCCCTCCCCCCCTCAATCCTCCCCCATAGGTCCGTTTAGGCACGCCCCCGATGACGTCATTGGCTCCGCCCCCCCCTCCCCCCCCTCCATCCTATTGGTTCCCCCCCACTTCCGGTTGATTTTGATACCTTCGGGATTGGCTTCATTAAAGGTGGAAACGTTTGTAATGGGGGGCTATGGGGAGACCATATATGGGCATGGGCAGGGCCATAGAGACCATATATGGGCAAGGGGGGACCCATAGAGACCATATATGGGCATGGGCGGGGCCATAGAGACCATGAATGGGCATAGGGGGACCCATAGAGACCATATATGGGCATGGGGTGACCCATAGAGACCATATATGGGCATGGGGGGGGCCATAGAGACCATATATGGGCATGGGCGGGGCCATAGAGACCATATATGGGCATAGGGTGACCCATAGAGACCATATATGGGCATGGGAGGACCCATAGAGACCATGTATGGGCATGGGCGGGGCCATAGAGACCATGAATGGGCATAGGGGGACCCATAGAGACCATATATGGGCATAGAGGGGCCCATAGAGACCATATATGGGCATGGGCGGGGCCATAGAGACCATATATGGGCATAGAGGGACCGATAGAGACCATATATGGACAAAAGGGACCCATAGATACCATATATGGCCATATAAGGACCTATAGATACCATATATGGACATATAGGGACCTATAGATACCATATATGGACATACAGAGACCATATAAGGACATACAGGGGCCTATAGACACCAACGAGAGGCACTCAAGATGGCGGCGCCCATGGAGGTAGCTCCTCACCAATATGGCGGCCCCCTCCAGACACACAAGATGGCGGCGCCCACGTCACCGCCCTGCCGCTGATTGGTCCGTTGGGCGTTGGCGACCTTTGATGACGTCAGAGAGCGGCGACGAGGAGCGGACCTGATTGAGACCCCTTGGGGGGGCGTTAAAGGGGCCGCAACCGGCTCGAAATGAGCCGAAAGCGCCCCCAAATCGGCTCAAATTGACCCAAAACCACCTGAAAATGACCCAAAACCGGCTCAAATGTCCCCAAACCACCCAAAATGCCCAAAATCGGCTCAAATTGACCCAAAACCATCTAAATTGCCCTAAAACAGGCTCAAATTGCCCCCAAACTGCTTGAAATTTCCCAAATTACCCCAAAAACAGCACAAATTGCCCCAAAACCACATAAAATATTCCAAAACACCCCAAATTGCCCCAAAACCACTTAATATTGACCCAAAACCACCTCAAATGTCCCCAAACCACCCAAATTGACCCAAAATCGGCTGAAATTGACCCAAAACCTGTTGAACCTTCCCAATCTGACCCAAAACCAGCTCAAATTGCCCCAAAACCACATAAAATATTCCCAAACGCCCCAAATTTTGCCAAAATCGCCTGAAATTGTCCCAAAACCACCTAAAATGATCCCAAACAACTCAAATTGCCCCAAAACCACCTCAAATTGCCCAAAACCACCTAAAATGACCCCAAAAATCCAAATTGCCCCAAAATAAGCTCAAATTGACCCAAAATAAGCTCAAGTTGCCCCCAAACCCACCTAAAATGTCCGAAAATCAGCACAAATGACCCAAAACCACCTAAATTGTTCCAAACAGTCCAAATTACCCCAAAATCATCCCAAATTGCTCCAAAACCACCTCAAATTGCCCCAAAACCACCTAAAATGTCCCCAAACACACAAAATTGCCCCAAAACCACTTAAAATAGCCCCAAACATTCCCAGAACCACCTAAAACGACCCGAAACAACCCAAATTGCCCTAAAATCACTCAAAATGGCCCAAAACCCCAGCGCCGCTCTCTGATTGGTTCTCCGCGCTCAGTGGGCGGGTCCCTACCGCCATTTCCGCTCTCCCATTGGCTCTGTGCTCCCATAGCTT